TCCTTGGCATCCGAGGCTCGAGCTCCCTGTCAGGTAGGCTCTTGTGCGATACTCGTGAGCCGTGCTATGCTATGAACGGTGGCATCGCATTCGCATGCAGGATACCTCTTGGCAATTTCAAACGCAGGAGCCGGGAGGCCGGGATTGCCGACATTGTAAACACGCTTATTAACTCGTGCACGCGAGTCAAGAACCACCAGGTTAAAGCGTATTGAGGTAACGCGCATAATCTAGCGCGCCGCGCCGCTTTGTGACCAGCTCTGTAGAGTGTACTGGCTATTCATGCGAGCCTGCTACGTTTCTGACTGTAATACCACTCCTCACGAATTATTTTTGCAAATCTGCAGAGTTGATGCCTCGCGCGATAAAAACGTGTTGGTTTCAGTATTTCTTTCGATTCGAGGATTAGGGTTGATAAATGATTGTTTGACAGTAGCAAATAAAAGTATTCTTTATTTGTGATCGATGAGAATTTTATTCAGCCACGGGCTGTAAAATTTTCATCGAGAAGCCAATATTTCCAGAAAGATGGGATAAATATTTGTTTGCTTAACTTTTGAGGCGTTTTACTTCATTTCGAGGCAAGTGGGTTTGCTGTAAAATTGAGAAGAATTATAATGGACCGACAACGTTTTCTGGTTGCTTTTTTAAACAAATATATTTTGTTGTAAACATTTGTTGCAAAATTGTAGTGTTTCATAGAAAATCATATGTAATTACAATTTTGTAACAATTTCGTTTTTTTTTTCACATTCTGAAACGTCTTAAAGTAACGAACATGTTTTCTTTTTTTTTGTTTTACCTAAATTTTAACAGCAAATGCAAATTTCTTTTTACTACATGCCGTCAAACAAAAAAAAAAAAAGCTATCTCTTCATGACGAGTATACTCGACGTAAAACATCGAAAGGGTTAATATGCATTATTGATTTAAAGAAGAATTGTGTAAAAATAGCAACACTTGACACGCTTTTTAAGGAACGTTAGTGAGTTCATTATTCTATCAAACCCTAGTAAAATGTTAGACTGTCGTATGTGACAATTTAATAGACGTGTCTCTGTATTGCAGGCTTACAAGTTCTCATTGAACGAACGTCCAGTTGTTCGAGTCACGTATTGAAATCTACATTTATTTGAATTCAGACAGGTTTGCGTTTGTGAATTTTTCAACAGGCAGGCTGAAAGTTCAAGTTCAGACATTTGCATGACAAGTGCTTGCGAAATATCCGTGCATTTCAACTTTATAGACTATGAGGATTTTTCAAACCTCTAATAAAGATGTTACTCTTATTTATTAACATGTTGACTGTTACGGTTTTGTCTAAAATGAAACGAACATAAACGGAAAATGTTTCTCGTTTTCGTGCTTTATTGTAATATAATATCCTATTTATTAATTAAATATCTTGTCCCATAGATGAAACATGAAAGTTTCTTGCGTAAAAGAAACTAGTATTTTAGAAAGAACTGTTTTGCAAAAGAGTTTCTGACTTTTAAAAATATACTACATTAAGCTATTGTTCATATTTGGTTCGTGAAACTAAATATGCAACAGCGCGATGAACTTCAATTTAATTTTGATACTACTTGCTTTTAAAGCAAGATGGCGACCTTTATTTCCGATTAATGAAAAGGTGATTAAATATTAAAATTTGTAATGATAATTAAATGATGTTAAAATTAAATAAAGAGCAAATGTACGTTTACCACGATAATTTTGTTAATTGTACGTAATATATAACAACAGAATTTAACATTAATAATTTCCTACAACTCCACAACCCTTCGAAAGGGTTAATATCTCCGGTATGGTCTAGTGGCTAGGATACCTGGCTCTCACCCAGGAGGCTCGGGTTCGATTCCCGGTACCGGAAATCTTTTTTTTTTTTTTTTTAGAAAAGATCCAAAGTAAATAGAATATTTCTCTCTTGTAAACAAATCCATTTATTTGTCGTTCTTCGTGAATTATATTGTTATATAAGAGCCATAACAAACAGTTGATTGCGTATAAAAATCCTCCTATCTAAATAAGCTATAAATGGGGAAGCGGGAACAGTTCATTCATTCGTCTACACGACAAATTTAGGTTTTCACAAAAGCGACAAGTGGAATCGACTCCGAGCAAACGTAACAAATTCAGTGGTAAGAAACATCGGTAAAATCATAACCATAATACGGCAATATGGCAAAAATTTCCTTGAAACCGGATCGAGGAAATAAAAAGAATTGCCAAGGAAGACATATTCTATAAATCAAACCTATCCTAGACCTAGAACCTTAGGAGTATGATTCCCCACAGGCTTCTCCCACGCCACGTAATCTCATTAAACCACGATTCATCCGAGAATTAGCATAGAACGGAACGGTGCACGCTTGTTATCAGAGTGAGGAAAGTAGAATTCGAAAGTAGACGCCTCTCGAGAGAAGAGAATGCATCGCGGGAGGCAAGGAAAGGTTGCAGACGCAACGGTACCATGACGGTCACGTTTCTCCACGCCCTGTGATTATTGAATATTTAACGTCGGCTGCACGACGTCTGACCTCCTGACTCGATCGTGCAAACCGTAATCGGCGTGATCGTGCGATTTAACAGCTCTGAATAGCCTTTGTCCCGAGATTTAGTGCCATCGATCCGAACCCAGCGTTCCCAAATCTCCATAATATTACGTTCCGCTTTCCATTTCGTATCATATCGCGTCGTCGCCGCGCCATGTTTGGACACACGCCATTCAAATTGTGCAGCACACGCGTATTAGACTCGCGTTGTATCTTCGACGATAAATTAAATACTCGAATGAAACTAATTCCGCGCCAAGTGGGTGCTTGTGACAACCGATCAGTAATTTATTATAGAATATTTCGTGAATTTTGCGGAACATACACGTTGACGGTACTTTATAGTATATAATAGAAGAATTAAAATTAAAAATTAAGAAGCTGATATTAAATTGAAACAAAATAAATTACACTAAATCAAATACACTAAATAAAATATACTAAATTACACTAAATGAATTACACTAATATACATTAAAAAGTTTCCAACAACGCGGAAGATTAGATGTTGCGTAGCGTCCAACGCGTGTTAACACGAATATATAGGACTTGTTTGTGTTGATAAAATTTTCAATTCTACTTCTGTTTCAAAGAGACAAAGAAATCAGAATTACAAGTTACATTGTTAACCGGCAGGAATTGATGATTCGTAGATCAGGTCAAGTTAAACGACGAAACGTACGTCCATTTGAAATTCTCACGAGTGGATACATCCGGATTACATTTAGGTCTAGTAATAATTTACAGGATTACAAGATACTTTTAGTATCCCTCGACTAAATGACTGCAAAGTACACGAACCGTGGCCTGGTACAACTTGGGCCAAGTGGAAAGAAGTCCTAAGCACCTGGGAAAGTCGCTTCAGCGCCACGCGCTTTAACCGATTTAGACAATAGGCCCTTGTCCAACGTCCCTGCTTCAGGGAAGGCCACTTAGGGGAGCTATAAAAGCGAGGGTCGTAGAGAATCTTGTATTAAAAAAGAACCGAGGACTCGGCCATCAGATGTAAACCAAGAATCCCAAGAGTCGAGGACGCAAATAAAGTCCAGGCCATCAAAGGAGATATTTCGTGTATTAATTCTACAAGTAACAAAAGAGGAATATTAAAATGTCTTTATTAAACACAAAGAAAAAAAAAAAAAAAAAAAAAAAAAATAGGGAAAAGGCTTGTTTGTCCATTGGATTCAAAGCGACATTATCGATGATATTTAATAATTCTCTGTGAGTGAACTAGGTTAATTTATGTTAAAATTAGAATGTTTATTCACATTTCACAGTTTTCGCTGCACATATTAGACAACTTCTCATTTAATGAAATGTGTACGTCCTCTTTCGGTACGAAGAGACATTCCAATCTTACATATTTTTTTCTTATTAATAATGGAAATTTATTTTTCCCATTTCTTGGTTTCTTGAAAATTTATCATTTTTTTTTTTTTTTTTAAATGATACATTTATTGACACACATATATAAAATAAAATTATTTCACAAGTTTATGGAAATCTGAAGCATGTTCCATCAGGATCCGGTATGGTCTAGTGGCTAGGATACCTGGCTTTCACCCAGGAGGCTCGGGTTCGATTCCCGGTACCGGAATTTCTTTTTTTTTCATTTTCTTTTTTTTTTTTTACTTTCCTAAACAACGTTATATCTTTATCGTTCGCATAACACAACTTTAGCTTAAAACGTATTTTATCAAAGTGTCGTTAATAAATAAAAGAGAAAAGAAGATATTCCGTACTTTTCGATAACAGAAATTCGATCTCATATCGATGCTGCGATCTTCTTATACCTATTAAATAACTAACTGAGTTACTTAACATTCATTTATTACCGGAGACATGCTGAAACAATGATTTGTCTTGACTAATTTAAAGGACTATTTCAATCACTGTGACAAAGAATCATCGCCGATACCATCTTCCCACTTTACGTACAATATATACAGGACGAGGTTTGGTTTTTTGTATATAATCGTCTTGTTTTTTGTAAAAATTTTCTTATAATGTTTTCCGTTATATTGCTACTCTTACGTACTTTTTTCGAAGCAAGAGTTATAGTCGGAAGCGTGTAGTCTAAGAGCGTCCCAAGAATATATTGATTGCTCCCTCACTTACCGTGCTTTCACAACTCTGTGTTTAACCTCTTGCGCTGGAATGACTTGCCACGCACGTCGAGAATTTTCTGCCCCAAATTGCGAAAAATTTTCTCAGTTTTAAGTATATTTAAATGTAACCCAGGCAAAACGTATGATAAATTTATTACTTCTTAATCATTTCTATTCAGTGATATCGTGCCGACGAGTTCAAGAGAAAGAAGAAAGCGACAAATTACTGTATACGGTTCGGTCACTCGTTATGGTCCGCGCAACCAGCTGCCAACGCAAGGGGTTGAGGATTTCCAGATAAAGTGGCTGTTCCTTGTCGAACAGGAGAGGAACTTACTTGAGAGAAAGAGGTCTTGGAGGGCCTGGGCTGCCTGGCACAGGAGAGCCCATGTCTCGGCAGCGGCAAGTCCTGTTCCTCGCAGAGCTAGTACATCTCCCGCTACTACGGCGAGGCCAGGTCCTCCGTTCAAGTCGGTTTGCATCCTGTAAACGACAAAATTCCACGAGTGAAAAAAAAATATGCAATCACACAACTGTACACTTGTACAATTCGACGTTTATTCAAAAGACCTGTCCGATAGTTCGTGTAGAATCGATTTGACTTGCGTCTTCGCTTCCGAGTGTCATTTATATCAGACAGCACCTTCATTCCTTTTAGGGATTTTTCAGTTCCCAGAATGTGAATTTTATTGTATCACCGACTATTGTATCTTTAACGTCTTTAAATAAATGATTGTATAAACATCAATGCGTCCGCAGTGCGTGTATTATAACCAATCGGGTTACACGCTTGAGGCATAGTTGCAAGATTCTCGGCATAGTTGGCAGTTTAGACGGCGGGTGTAACAGAGACTTTCAGTTTTCAAGGTAACACGTGTATCACTGTGATTAACAGTGTTAGAGGTTAGTTAAACCGCGAATTCTTGAAGTTTCGTAACTATCCTCTCTCTCTCTCTCTCTCTCTCGCTCTCTCTATGGTCAAACACGAGCCTTTGTGACGACTTAATGGACAAGTGTCGTGTTTAAAAGTTTAGCGGGGAATAGTTGGACGAGCTAGAACAACGTACTCGACAAAGGATTGGCCATTGAAGAACGATTCTCGCGAGGAAGTTTCGTGTTATTCGACGTAGAAATTAAAAAAAAAAAAAAAAAAAGATGAAAAAGCTCGCAACAATTACGCCGAAAATTTCGATCACACGAGGAGAAGTCGCGAAAGCTGGAAGCACGAGAATTATGAAACGTGTCGCGTTCGCGATCGGGATCGAATTAATTAAGAAATCACGCGTTTCGGGGCGTACGGCCGGCAGGCTGAAATGGAGCGGAAGGAACGAGACGAACAAAAGGGGACTGAAATAATCGAAGCTTCGTGGCCAACAAGCCCGATACATCCAATATGCACGCCCCGGCCTGTTTACACTCGTTTGTTCTCGAGCTGCGCGACACGTTGCTTCGATCCTGTGTTCCATCGTTCGCCGTGCCAGGCTCGGGCCTATTGTGCCCAGCGTTGGGAAAAATCGACGAAAATTTCGAGAAGCAACACACTCTTAGACTCTGTTTGAGAATCACAGAGTGCTGGTTTCATTGGTTTTGGGGAAATTCATAGCGAAACAGTGCTAGAATGTAATTAATTTCATTATAAATCGCAAATTGATTGTGTAATTTTTATGGCCGATTGTAGAATAGCTTGACTCTTTAGAGAAAGAAAATATAGCTGTAAAATGCACGATCTCTTGACAATTGTTTGTTCGACGTCGATTTCAAAATGGAGAGTCAAATTAGAAATTATCGTATGTATATAGTAAAGTTTACTACGTCAAACTACGGGAATTTAGCTAAATTTTAGCTAAACTTGCTGATGAGAATATCGAATCAACAACAGCTCTTGGAAGTATTTTTTTTTTTTTTCTTCTTTTGATTGAAAAAGATTTTTGAACGAACAAAATGAGACAATATTTTGTTTCTTGTGTAACATTCGCCTTTCATTCGGACACGGAAAAGCGCAGTTACTTAACCCTCCTTGAGTCTTAAAAATTCTGCAAATTGCGCTGGGAGAATGAATCCATTCTCGTGCGATAATTTAGAGTGCGTGCGCATTCGGGAAAAAGCAGCGGAGAGTCAGCTGCGAAAGGAAGAACGCGTGAAATTGGTCCGCGAGAACAGAGACACCTCGTGATTATATTCCGTTTCGTCGTCGCCTTTTACCTTAACAAATTTCAAAAAAAAATTTGGTAGGTATCTCGTTTCTTTCGCACTGTAAATAACAACGTTTTCCACAATGTTGGCAAAATGTTTTACGACCGTGAAATGAAAGAACAGCGAAACACATGCCGTGCAAATACTCGAGCCAGCAGTATTTCGTATACTGTGTGCGATATTCACAAGGTACGGTTCATACTATACATTTTCGTATCAATTCTTTATTTTAATTTTCAAATTAATTCTTTAATTGGTCGACGTTGGTTCCAATTTATGCGCTGCGCATCGAAGGTCCGAAGTCCGAGTAGCTCCAAAATGAAGAACCCATTGGCCTCGGTACGATCGATTTTTAATCAAACGCGAGGGAACCTTACACCCTCGCGGCACCCCCGAATATTTGCCACCGATGCGTGCAGATTTACCGACTGTAAATCTTCGCGTGTCAGCCTGAAAGACAGTCGACAGGTGGACCGACCATGGGTGAGGTAACGCGTGTCGACCGCGTTTTCCACTTGCCATCCCTCGTCGAAAATTCTCTTTCACCAGCCTCTCGCTCTGGTTTCACCGTTGCGCGGCCGCGAGTGCAATGAAATATTCACCTCGCGCGCTATTAAATAGTTTGGAAAATTTAACAGACGTCTATAGGCCTTGAATAATGCATCCCCATTTTTGCAACGATAAATCTCACCGGCGGAGGTACAAACAGCAAAATTCAATTACAATTTGATCGCGAAGCTTGGCAAACAGTCGCAAAGTTGTACGTAGCAAGCCGTGTAACATAAACGCACATAGTAATGGAAAATTGTCGATACTTTAGTGTTCAGTTTAGTGTTAGTAATTATACTTGAAGAAATAGTAGTGATATGTCTGGAGACAAGCTGAGTGTAACAAATTACTGCCAAAATGCGATAAAAGAAAGTGAAAAAAGTGAGAAGCATTTAGGAAGTTCTTTTTTTCGAGTTTTTTAAATGACGAAGTTGCATTTATAGATAAAATAAATTGTGCGTGTATATTATTATATATGCTATATGTTTGCAACCATGTGTTTGTAATGTATATAATTTATTATATATATATATTATAATAATATATTATGATAGTAACAATACTTGTATAATAATTATATACATTATACATTAAATTATACAATGTATATACAAAATATAATTTAATATAGAATGTATGTGTGAATAATGTACATAATGCACTATTATGTACATTATATTATTATATATAAATTATATGTGTATATTATTACTGTATACTGACGTATAATTTAATATAGAATGTATATGTGTATAATGTACATAATGCACTATTGTATACATTATATTATTATATATAAATTATATGTGTATATTATTATAGTATACGCACGTAAAATTTAATGTAGAATGTATGTTTGTGTTACATATATTAAATTATAATGTATATCATACGGATAAAATGTAATGTATTATTATACACGCATATAAATTACATTGTTAAATACACGACTGCAACGTCAATGCGTCCATTTGAAAACAAAACTGTTTAAATCTTTCTCGCTGTGTATCATCCAAACGACCGGAACTCTCCCTACGAAAAAAAGAAAAAAATATGAAATTGCACGAACCATCGATTTCCGCTGGTCGGCATATATTCGACCAAAGCGAAACAGCAACAAACACAGAAACACACGGAACAGCTAATCCGGGGACACTAATCTGTCCAAATTGCGGGCAAACTTTCGCAACAATCAGATCGTATACCATCCGAGGGATGGTACCGGTCAACTTCAATCTCGAAACTTTCCGGCCGATGCCGATGCCCATTCTTTCTGCGTACGTTTTAAAAGCAAAATGGCAGAAAGTTATCGGGGCAAGCCCCCACTCCAGCTTGCAAACTCCAAGCTACTGGCCCGTAATATTTGCGCGGACTCAAAGAGTTTGCCATCCAAGCTAATTTCCCTCCCCCTCTTCTTATTCGCGAAGATCGGACGAACTTTCTGTGGTAGTGATTACCATAGATAGTTATATATTGTGGAATGAATATACATAATATGGAAGGATGAGTGTGGATATAATTGTGGTGTGGTGTGATCTGAGTGTTTGATATATTTCATGGCAGAAGAAAGAACGAATGAGAGAGATGTATTGCGAGAACAATACGAGAGCGAGCATGGTGAAACAGAGAAACAGTTATGATCGGGAAGACGCAAAGCATGAGAGATAAGAGATAAAGAGTGAATCAATGAGTGTTAAACGTTACACGTGTTTCATAATTTATATTAAATCTATCAATAATCAGTGTGTTTGTCATTCGATTCACTAACACTTTCCCCACCAAGTATCAGCCCAATCGCGACGAATATGTCACGAGACGTACTAATTCCACCTCTCAGCTCTTTTTCAAAGGGAATACGTCCCGTCCTCGATGAGGGATGAACGTCAGTTATAATGCATCGATTCGTTGAACGGTAGTGCGGCGATGAAGCTGCGCCGCGCCGTTCTCCACGGTGCTTATTAAAAGTTTCGTTCAGTTTCGTTCGAGAGCAGATTACGTGCCTGCTAGCCACTTGCCACAAGTATTACATTCGAGAAACTTAGGTCCCGCGGAAACTTTCGTAAATACGTCACGCGTGCTAGACGAAAACTCTTTTTAATTTCATTAATACCGAGACGAGTGGGCAAACAGATTTGTAATTGTAATTTTCTGTAATTTAACTACTTGGCGCTGGCCAACCGATTGCGGACCATAACGAGTGACCGAACCGTATATACGATAATTCGTCGCTTTTTTTTTTTCGAACTCGTCGGTACGACATCAATGAACAGAAATTATTGAGAATTAAATAAATTTATTATTTACTTTGCCTTATACTTAAATATACTTAGAACTGAGAAAATATTGCAATTTTGGGATAAAAAAAATTCTCGACGTACGTGGCAAGAGGTTAACAAAGCGGATAATTCTTTTACGTCGTTTCGACGTAACCGAAAACGGTCGGCGAAAACCGAAAACAACGAGTACATTCTTTTCGTACTTTCCTCATTTTCCTGAATTTTCACGTTGCTGAAATTATTTTATCTGCGACTGATGAAAATGCGGACAATATGAAAATGAAGATGACTTACAGTCGAGAGTTGACGATGGCCAATTCGACAGTGAATTTCAGTGTGATCATGAAACACTCATATGATTGGAAAGGAAAATAGTTTTCAATATGTTTAGAAAATAAAAGAGGACGAAATTCTGAAGATTTGCAAACAGTTTGGCAAAAGATGCAAGCAAATTCTTCTGGAAGA